GAAGGCAATGATCTAATGTCTTGTCATGTCAACAGGTTGTAAAATCATCTGTCCTTACAAGGACTGCCGTCCCTACAAGACACCCTGTGACCAGACAGCCTTTATCTTTCTGTGTAGTATAACATTTAACCCGTTTCAATTTGACCCAAAGTATGGGGAAACGGAGCCCCCTTACCAAGACGATAGGACTGGTAAAACAGCTTCAATCTATACCAGTCAGCGACACGCAACGCGCCAATGTGTAGAAAAACAATACATTGAAACGCACCATCTTGTCCCCTGATGTGTTTGGAGTTGTACTAAGTTCGGTCCCAGCCTCTCGTGTCCCACAACATACAGTACTTCCTGTAAATAAGTGAAAGATAGGCACGACTTTAAAACATTATTGACTCATTTTGTATTAATCCGGTGAAATTCAGAAAATAATGTTAACACAGTATAATTATTTGCTGAAATAAATCACATCTGCTTAACTGAGCCGAGTGGCAGTACCATGAAGAGCAATGGAGGAATGGAACAATGCAACACGTTTTACCCGTCAGTTAAGCAATGTCCTAAAGAGAAAATAACCTCACTATTGAGCGCCAGGGCCAAGCAGGATCCTCATAGTTGTATATTATCTCCTCATCTGGGAATATTTCTTTTACAGCAAATAGGTACAAGTGTGGGGCATTTATTTTTATTGTGTAGCAGTCAGTTTGTATTTTTGGCAGCACTGTTGAGCATTTTGAAAATATATTTTCATGCCTCTGTGCAAGGCTTAGTCTTTCTATCTTTATAGCCAGAGGTGTAAAGTAACTAAGTTCATAAACTCAAGTACTATAATTGGGTAAAGTTTTGAGTTACTTGTACTTTACTTAATTATTTCAATGTTTTGCTACTTCTACTTATCTACAATTAAGAGGTAAATGGTGTACTTTTACTCCACTACATTTATGTAATACCTTTAGTTACTTTAGAGATGTGGATGAATGATGTGAAATATAATCAAGTGTTAAATCAGACTTTAGTTCCACCTGGAGTAAATCCACAAGCTACCCTGCAGTATACAAAGTCATTCAAACTAGCTGCATGTCAAGGAGTGAACTCTGAGGCATGAACTCAATTGCACGACTCAAAACTCAGACTCAGATAGCGTTTCAAAATAAAGACTTTACTGGAATTTTGCACAGTAATAAAATAAGGAAAACAAAACACTCTTTCGAGGAAAACTAGAATCGTGATCAATATCATAGGTCCGTGAAAGGTCCGTGAGGTAAGCCGATACGTAGGTCATCGAGAGACAACGAACTGACAATGAATAGGAGGGAGCTAACACAATATATACACAGGTAAAGGGGACACAGTTGGAAACAATCAGGGCGGGGAAAATAATCAAGGACGCAAGGACGCAGGAGACAGAAAGGGGCGGGGAGCGTGGAGGCCTGAAATGAGAGGAAGAAATAATTAAGGGCATAGACATAAAGCACAAGACAAAGGGACATGACAACTCTAACATAAAGAATAAACTTTCACTATAAGTTTCTTGGACATGACAGTACCCCCCCTTCTAGGGACGGCTCCTGACGGCCCAGGCTCCTCTGAGTTGAGGCGGTCAAAATCCTCAATGAGGTTTTTGTCTACGATGAAGCGGGAAGGAATCCATTGCCGCTCCTCAGGACCATAACCCTTCCAGTCAACCAGTAACTGTCGCCCTCTACCCCTTTTCCGACCAGCCAATAGTGACTTGACCGTGTAAACTGGACCTCCATCGATCATCCGGGGGGGAGGGGGGGGTTTGAAGGTGGGAACCATAGCGCTCTCCTTCAACGGTTTTAATTTCCCTACATGGAAGGTGGGATGTACCTTCATGGGCCTGGGAAGCTGTAGTCTCATTGAGACTGGGTTTATGACCTTGGTGATGGGAAAAGGACCCACAAACCGGGGAGCCAGTTTTCGGGAGAGTACGTGGAGGGGAAGGTCTCGTGTAGAGAGCCAGACTTTTTGGCCTGGCTGGTATACAGGGGCTGGTCGCAGCCCACACGCGCCGACAACGCCTGACCAGAGCGTGGGCAGACGGGACCGTGACCTCTCTCTCCGTGGCTGGGAACAGTGGCGGCTGGTAGCCATAAACACAGTGAAACGGGGACAGGCCCGTGGCAGACGTAGGGAGGATGTTGTGTGCATACTCAACCCAGGTGAGGTGCTCGCTCCAGGAGGATGGATTCTGGGACACCAGGCAGCGCAGGCAGGTCTCCAGTTCTTGATTTAGGCGCTCTGTCTGGCCGTTAGACTCCGGATGGTATCCAGACGAGAGACTGACCGTGGCACCGATGAGGCTGCAGAACTCCTTCCAGAAGCGTGACACAAACTGGGGGCCCCGGTCGGAGACAATATCCTTAGGGAAACCATGAAGCCGAAACACATTCTGCATCATGACCTCCGCCGTTTCCTTAGCTGAGGGCATCTTGGGCAGAGCAATGAAATGTGTCATTTTAGAAAATCTGTGGTTTTACCTCTAGAGAGGGGCAGGCCAGTGACGAAGTCCATGGAGATCTCTGACCAGGGCCTGTTGAGAATAGGGAGTGGTTGTAATAGTCCTATTCGCGCCCTGGAAGAGGTCTTGTTTCGAGCGCAGATAGGGCACGCCTCCACATACTCCTTCACCTCCCCCCCCCCCCCGGGACGCGCCCCCCCATCGCCCCCCCCCCCTAAGCAACTACCGCCCTGCCGTCTCCTCTATACTCGC